ATTTTGTGTATAGTTTTCATGTTTTCGGATGATGCATTCATGAAAAAATGATAAGAAAAGAGGAAAACCTTCTATGATAACTGTAGTGCATCAGTAATACGCTTCAGGCGGCAGAAGGGAGCAAGGAAAATCCACGATAATGTCAGGGAATGGTGGAAGAGGGGATTCCATTCATTAAGCCAGAAAAATTGTTCTTCAATATTTCATGTATCAAATTTTCAATAACTTCTTTTTCTTTGATTTTTTGTATTTTTTACTCTTTGATTATTTCTGATACATTGAGAATTTTCCATTATTTCCCATATATTTGAAAGAAGTGTCAACTACATTTGTAACAAAAAAGGCATTAGACAAATCTAACTGAATCCGAAGGAATCCTGGGAGCGTTTATTCAACTCAGAAAGTTAATTATGCTTATTTCCTTCAACTCTATTTTATATCATTATTTTTCGAAACATTTTAATTAATTTCATACATTCTTCAGATTGAAAAAATATATTTTGCCCATGAGGACTATCCAATTCTCAATATATCGAGAATAATTAAAGACTAAAGAATACAAAAAAAAAAACAATTACCTGGGTGACACACCCGAACCCTCTCTCGGAGCCATACATACTACCTGCCACGGGCGTATCATTGAGGATGTTTAACTTCTACCCAAGTTTTATGACCTCTACTGCCAATAGGTCAAAAATATTAGTCAAACTTTAAACACACGGCGCAACCATCAAAATGCAGTTTAAAAATATGAAAAAATTCACAGGGGTATTTTATCAACTGAAGAATCATTTTTTGAGGCGAAATCGGAAATATTCAGGAATACCCGTAAAATGGGCCACCCTAAGGGACATTGTGAAGAAAAATTATGTTCATCACCCGGCCAAAAGCAACTTTTTTGAATCGTGTGATTCTATTGGGAACTGGTGGATGGGCGTATGACATCTGGTGGTGAGAAAAAGAATCATTTTTCAAACTGAGCCGTCTTCAAAAGTCAATAACTCGAGATTGGCAGAGTGAAATTCAACAAATTATAAATCATTCCCAAATTATTTTTTTTTTAAGTTTCGAAATAAGATCAATTCCATTCAAGTCGTAACAAAATGAAATTCACCCCATAAACTTATATATAAAGTGCTATCACAAAGAAATGTTCCTGAGAAATTCCAATGGATTCTCTTTAATTCTTCATTATTTTTCTAAAAATCATGAAAATAAATTTTTGTTGAAAATTTGTTGTTAAAAAAAAGGAACTTTGGGACAACGAGATTTTCTGTGAAAAATTTCCGATAACTCATTTGCAGACAATTGATTCTGCGAAATTGAAAAACAAGAGAAATGAGGAAGAGCGCCAAGTTTCTGAGGTTAAACTTATTATCCTTGTAGGACGACAGATCTTCTCATAAAATATAAACACAATTCCAACATTTTTAACAGTGGCTTGTTCTCAATGGCAACTCACCATTATCAATTCCTATGAGTGATAGTAGGGGACGACCATAAAAAGTGTGGTTTATCCACACCATTTCCATAACAAAGAATGTGAATATAAGTGGTTTCTTAAAAAAAAAGGTTGAGAAAAAGAGTCAGGACCAACGTACTTGGCGCGGTTTTTCAGTCTAATATAAAAATCTCGTGGGGATTTGAACCAAGTTTGGCATATTTGTCGATTCCTTGGCTTGAATAGATACGAAGGATTGTTCTGAAATTAATAGAACTGTTCCTTTATCACAACAGTGAGTTAAAGTCTATGCAATCATAAAAGAAAATAAGGATGGTGGAAGAGATTTGTGGCAATATTTGAAAGCTCTTAGAGCGACTATTTTTCCCTACGTGGAGAGTCACCGTACAACTACTCGTGCAACCGGGACGAGCTCCGAACGATGAAGGATGTGTTGTGTGTCTCTAATACATACTATGCGAGAAAGATGGACGGCACTTTTCTCAGTCGGACAGTGTACAATGCACACTTTGTGGTTCGAAACTCGCCCTCTACTCCGCACATCGTGAATGATTTCTTTTTAAAAACCGCGCCAAGTACGTTGGTCCTGACTCTTTGTCTGAACCTTTTTTTTTAAGAAACCGCTCATATTCACACTCTTTGTTATGGAATTTGTGTAGATAAACCACACTTTTTATGGTCGCCCCCCACTATCACTCATAGGAATTGATAATGGTGAGTTGCCATTGAGAATAAGCCACTGTTAAAAATGTTGGAATTGTGTCTATATTTTATGAGAAGATCTGTCGTCCTACAAGGATAATAAGTTTAACTTCAGAAACTTGGCGCTCTTCCTCATTTCTCCTTTTTTTCAATTTCGCAGAATCAATTGTCTGCAAACGAGTTATCTGAAATTTTTCACAGAAAATCTCGTTGTCCCAAAGTTCTTTTTTTTTAACAACAAATTTTCAACCAAAATTTATTTTGATGACTTTTAGAAAGATAATAAAGAATTAAAGAGAATCCATTGGAATTCCTCAGGAACATTTTTTTGTGAAATTCTTCTAACAACGTATCGAAATGGTTACTTGGCGTTTTTTTTAACAAAAATTTATTTTTCTGATTTTTTCGAGAGATTTCAGTCATTTTTTAAATATGAGTTCTAATGGAGAATTAAAGAGAATTCTTTCCGAAATACCCAGGAAATTTTGTTGTTCCAAATGTTTTTTTTCAACAACTCATTTAAACGCTTATGTTTTAAACAAAAAAATTTTTATTCTTTTTTGCAAAATTTTAGTAAATTTTTAACTATAAGTCCTAATAGAGAATTGAAGAGAATTGGCACATGTTTCCTGTACGAATTCGTGCTGTTAACGTGGTTACCGTTACATTCGAAATGAGAGAATTGTCAGGCCTTCTTCTTCGGACCAATGAAGATTGATGATGATTTTTCTGCAAAACTTGACACTTTTGTTTGTTTGGAGGGAAGCTTGAGGGAAATATAGCGATTAATTTTCAAGGTCGAGGGGTATTCGGCGGAGAATTTTTCGGGACTGGATTTTGGCCAAGCGGAGTGCAGTATTCGAGGGCTTCTTCTAGCAAAATATCCAGTTGGCTAGAAATAAATGAATAGCTACTATGCAATTATCAGATGCAATTTCCAGAAGCTAGTGTGCAATTTCCGAAAAAATTTGATAACAAAAGAGTACGGAAAATGAGAAATGAAACGCCTTGTTATGCACGTATCTTTGTAAATATTCATTAAAAAAAAGTGGAGACATAAATGGGAAGCGCATATGCGATTTATATTATGAAACTAAGGTCAGTTTTCACATAATATGTCGGATTACAATTTTTATTAAATAACTTGCATCAAGGGGTAGTTGCCTCGTGTATAGATACGCGGTAGTACTCGGCTTGGTTTAAATGAGGAATGAGACTCGAAATGGTTACTTAGCCGATACGCTACCGCGTATCTCGATCTCAAGACCGTAAGCTCCGCCCATCCATCAGTTCCCAATTCCTCGGCTTCGCCTTGCTCTGCAACTTCACACTCGTCAGAAATTTTTGTTCAGCCTTGCGACAAAAATAGCGATTTCGGCCTTATAACGAAAATGGCTATTTCGTCATAACTGGAAGATACACTGAGAGAACAACGACAAAGTTCTCAAACAAGTCTTACTTGTGCCAAGAAAATATGTTTTTGAAAATGATCAAAAAAGGATTTTTTTTAAAGGATTTTTTCTAAAAAAAAATTGCATTCTCTGTACACGTAAGAAATATCATTTTTAGCACTACTCCTTCGTTATTCAATACTCCGAAACAAGGGATAGTAGTTTCTCGTTTCAGCTGTCTAATATTCATTGACAAGAAATGAACCCTTAAATGAAACAATAATAATGATATGATAGCAATCTTGTAACTTAGTGACAAAATATTTGTTGATAAATTTTCCTCCGTATGAGATATTTTCATCCTGGAAAGGCACCGTCTGGTGTGAATTATCCGCCTCTTTAGTCAAATATTTCGTTGCTGTTGAAAGCAGAACAATTATTTATGTTTGGGATTTTCTAATTCTAAACAAAGAAATTCGTTTTTGGCAATTTTCAACAAGTGATTTTGTCGGCCCAAACAAGACTTGTTTGAGAAGGTGTTTGTTTTTTTCTCAGGGTAAAGTAGGGGGTATTTATGATTTTTTGAAATATACACACGGGAAAAAAATTTAATGGATAAATCTAGCGAATTCTCTGGACAATTCTATTGAAGTTTCTTATAAGTTTTTGGCCACTTCCATTGAAATATTCAATAGAAGATATTTTATAGAAAAAGGCAATAGAATTTGATTTTTCTATACAAATTATTCTATTGAGATATTTGCCCCAGAATTTCCTCGACTCGAATTTTCTAGGTTTTTTTCATTCTATTTTTCTTTTCTTTTTATCAAGAAAATCAAACAAAAAACTTGGAAAATTTGAGCCGAGCAAATTCTATAGAAAATATCTGAATATGATAAGTTATACAGAAAAATTGAACTCTGTTGATTTTTATGCAGAATATTTTCTATAGAACATGTCAAAACCATTGGCCAAAGACAAATAGAAAATTCAATAGAAATTCCGTTCAATAGAAATCTATAAAAAAAAATGGACTGAAAAATTCAAAAAACCGAGCGGTTGAAAGAATCGAAAAATCCTTGGGATATGATATTTTTGTAGTTAAAATACATGACCGAGAAAATTTTTGAGCCAATTAGAAACGCTAAAGGTGTGAACCTCACGAGTTGGCATAGAACTCCCTATTCACCCCATAAAATTATTATTCTGACCGTAGATTCTTCTTCTAAATTGACTTATTCCGGTAATTATTCTCGGTCATTATTGCTCCATAAAATGCTCTCTATTCACTGAAAGAAACAACCTTTACGTTATTACTTGAAAATCAGATTTATTGCTTCCGAATGAAAGTATTGTAATCGTGCTGTTTTCACATTCTCTAATTTTGATTGGAAATGATGTAGAATGGTCTGAAACGTAAAAATACGAAGTTTGGCGACCATGCCTGTCGGTGTCAGTGTCCATCGCCACCTTTCCGGTGGTCAATTTTTGGAAAATTGAGTAATTAATTTGCTAAACTTATTCCAAAAAATCTGAAATGTTGTCAGATTATCGACCTTAACAAGGACTCTGTGCACAAGTTCAGCCGGATTAATCAAATAGTTTTTGAGAAAAAGCTATTCGTTTTTAAATCGTTTTTCGCTAATATCTTCGAAGCTAATAAACCGATTTCAATTTTTTTTTAAATATTCGTTTCGATGCCTTCTATCCGAATCAATCAAAACATATATACCGGTTCATACAAAGTTTTCGAGATATTTCCATTTTTCTGTTTTTTCATAAAAATCCTTGTGATCACTGTAGCTTTTACAAAAATTGAGATATCAACTTGAAATTTGGAAAGAATCTTCCTCTCATGATAACAATCCTTCCTATTGAAAATAAGCTCAATCGCATGGGTAGTTTCCGAGATATTCGACTTTCTCTGAAAACCTTTCATGTGCAATAGCTTAAAAACTACGCAATCGATTTCAATTTTTTTTTTCCAAATATTCGTTTCGATGCCTTCTGTCCGAATCAATCAAAACATATATACCCGTTCATGCAAAGTTTTCGAGATATTTCCGTTTTTCTGTTTTTTCATTAGGTGGCGGTTATTTCCACTGACATTGTTGATATCTAATCTGAGCGGGTTTGGTGTTTTCATTTTTTTCTTTCTCCAATAGAATTATTACAGATCCATTCGGAAGCTTACTACCAATGGAATTGGTAGAAATGAAAGAAAGAAAAAGAGTTATAACACATAAAGTAACGGTCAGATGGCTTCGGCCAAAAAGGCTCGAACTCCTGCTTGTTTATTACTCAATTACTACTGTATCTGGCATTCCGGGATCTATCACCTGTAGTAGTGTAGATCCTTGATATGAGCGAAAATTGGGTTTTATAATATTACTTAAAATTGAGTATTTACATCAGTTGTGGACGCCCCGTGACCCTTCCCCGCAAGGGTTCTAGGATGCCATATGAAAAACTGGAAAGGGGGCCTATTCTCTGATTGATTAAGGGGAGACTACTGCGAGTTTTAAAAGTCGTGGGTTATTGGAGTGAGACTTTTCATACGTTGAAGATCGATTATATAGATCTGAAAACGAATAATTAGTGCAAAAAAAAATTTTTTCTATTGTTCGTTTGCCCGAAAATGCTTAAAATGCTAAAAACAGTGCAGGGCCTCGCATTTTTGAGCGACAAAAGATTTTTTTCTCTCAAAATTTTCTGAAAAATGTGTGGAACAACAATTACGAGTTTTTTAGAATTCGACTCCTACACAGCTGATTTAGTTTTTTTTCATGTAAAAAAATTCACTATTTATGTAAAAAAATACAAAAAAAGCAAATTTAGCCATGTAAGATGCCAATTTAAAAAAATAGCCCGAAATTGTTATTCCACATATTTTTCCGAAAATTTTGAAAAAAAAAAATCCTTCGTAGCTTAAAAATTGGAGGCACTGGACTGTTTTTGGCATTTTAAGCGTTTTCGGGCAAACGAACAATAAAAAAATGTTTTTTTTGCACTAATTATAAGTTTTCAGATCTATATAATCGATCTTCAACGTATGAAAAGTCTGACTCCAATAACCCACGACTTTTAAAACCTACAGTACTCTCCCCTTAATAATATTTCTATCCTCTAGGAAATTATACGCATAAACGTCGTTGGATCACCGCCTCAATATCGCGGAATTGAAGAAAGATAGAAAATTTGTTTAGAAACTTTTTTTGTATCTAATAACAAAATACCTGCATCTCCCTTAAATTCGGAAATTTTCATCAAAAAGTCCATAATTTACCTATTCTGATGGTTTCGCTCTTCATTTCATATTCGAATAGATTTGCAGAAGGCATCCGAGACATTTACCTCTGGAATTTCTTCGGAGTTATTGGACTCAACATGATCCTGATGAGTGTAACTGGAGTGCAGGTAGCGCAGCCTGCCCGGCCATAGTATTCTATTAAATTGTTATGTACCTATTGTAAATCAAACTCTACTAGGTGGTGACGAACTTGGACGCTATGGAGAAAGTCGTCAAATACTCTGTCTTCGTCTTCATGCAGATGGTGCATCTCTTCATCGAGTGTTTGGCCGCCCAGCGACTGATGGACGCCAGTTTCGAGCTCAAAGAGACCCTGTAAGGCTTGAGTATTCCATTTTTATTAGATAGCCCTGGCGGATCCCCCGATTGAGATTCCATCGACTGTCGATTGTAGAATCGAGTTGATCGGTATCTCGATTCGTATGCGAGTGTAGTTCGATTCAGATCTCAGATTATTGATAGAATCGAAGATGAATCGACTTTATAGGAAGTCGATAGCTAGTGAATTTCAAATGAAAAAATTTATTGCACCAAAACTTGAAGGAATCCTGGGATGGTCGATTATAAAAGACTCCGTACGGTCGGACCAGGATCGACTTGAAGAATGTCGATTGTGACTCGATTGTCCTCATTCTGCAAGTCAATCGACCCACAATCGACAAGTTATTCAGTCGTTTCATATTAGTTTCTTATACTTAGTAAATGAATCGACTCGCTGCCAAGTCAATGGCAGCTCGATTGTCCTCATTATTCAAGTCAATCGACCCACAATCGACCAGTTGTTTAGTCGTTTCATAATAGTTTTCATAATTTCAGTGGGAGAATCGACTTATCCTTGAGTCGATTGTGATTCGATTGTCTTCATTATTCAAGTCAATCGATCCACAATCGACTAGTTGTTTAGTCGTTTCATAATAGTTTTCATAATTTCAGTGGGAGAATCGACTTATCCTTGAGTCGATTGTGATTCGATTGTCTTCATTATTCAAGTCAATCGATCCACAATCGACTAGTTGTTTAGTCGTTTCATAATAGTTTTCATAATTTCAGTGGGAGAATCGACTTATCCTTGAGTCGATTGTGATTCGATTGTCTTCATTATTCAAGTCAATCGATCCACAATCGACTAGTTGTTTAGTCGTTTCATAATAGTTTTCATAATTTCAGTGGGAGAATCGACTTATCCTTGAGTCGATTGTGATTCGATTGTCTTCATTATTCAAGTCAATCGATCCACAATCGACTAGTTGTTTAGTCGTTTCATAATAGTTTTCATAATTTCAGTGGGCGAATCGACTGATCCTTGAGTCGATTATTACTCGATTGATCTCATATTATTCACTTATATGAAACGACTCAACAACTGGTCGATTGTGGGTCGATTGATGTGAATAATATGTGGGCAATCGAGTCACAATCGACTTTTTTCAAGTCGATCCTGGTCCGACCGTAAGGAGTCTTTCATAATCGACCACCCCATGAGTCGTTCAAGTTTTGGTGTAATAAATTATTGTCATTCGAAATTCACTAGCTATCGACTTCCTATGAAGTCGATTCATCTTCGATTCCATCAATAATCTGAGATCTGAATTGAACTACACTCGCATATGAATCGATATACTGATCAACTCGATTTTACAATCGACAGATCCGCCAGGGAGTATTAGCAACTATTTCCAATGAGCCTGTGAATTTTCCAGGACCAACGCGAAGTGGTATATGGCATCCAAGAAAACTCACAAGTTAATCCTTCTGATGCTCATGAGGAGTCAAATTCCGATCGTTCTGAGTGCTGGCAAGATGATTGTCATGAATATGGACACTTATGCTGTTGTAAGATTATGAATTTATTGATGTGTAATAGGATGGCTCATATGTAAAAAAAATTGAATTTCATAATTTTCGTGTTTGATAAAGATAACCAATGACATGGAAAGTACATGTGAATTTTTTCAAAATTTTTGAATCATTTTTCAAGGTTGCGCCGTGTAGTTTTATTTCTTATGGACTTTTACCCGCATCGTAGAGATCGAATGTGTCAATAATTTTTTAAAGACTCAATTATTACATCCCTCGGTGTTTCCCCTCCGTGAACCGTTCAGAGAGAGGTTTAAGAACAGAATTAATTTTTGTCTCAACAGAAAACTTATTACTTATCAAAATGAAAATCCTCATTTCTACTCAATTCAGTGATTTTTAAACGCCTCTAGCACGCTGGGTATCTGGCCGTTTTTCATCCCGATTCGGTTGATGGATTATGGAACTATCTGACAATAATTCAAAGAAAAAAATTTTCTTCCCCACCAATTGAATTCTGAAAAAAATGCGAAAGATAATTCCTAAATTTCCAGTAAAGACAGGTGTCCGGCTCATGCGGTGCTTTTACAACGGTCGTAAACACAGAAATTGAGCCTACGCAAAAAATTTGACCTGCCGAACTAACCTGCGCTGGGAAGGGACTGAACTCGCATCGTAGAGCTGCTTTAAAATTTAGCTGAAATTTTGTATATAGTTTTCATGTTTTCGGATGATGCATTCATGAAAAACCGATAAGAAAGCAGGAAAACCTTTTATGATGACTGTAGTGCGCCAGTAATACGCTTCAGGCGGCAGAAGGGGGCAAGGAAAATCCACGATAATGTCAGGGAGTGGTGGAAGAGGGGATTCCATTCATTAGGCCAGAAAAATTGTTCTTCAATATTTCATGTATCAAGTTTTTAATAACTTCTTTTTCTTTGGTTTTTTGTATTTTTTATTCTTTGATTATTTTTGATATATTGAGAATTTTATATTTCCCATATATTTGAAAGAAGTGTCAATTACATTTGTAACAAAGAAGGCATTAGACAAACCTAACTTAACCCGAAGGAATCCTGGGTGCGTTTATTCAACTCAGAAGGTTAATTATGCTTATTTCCTTCAACTCTATTTTATATCATTATTTTTCGAAACATTTTAATTAATTTCATACATCCTTCAGATTGAAAAAATATATTTTGCCCATGAGGACTATCCAATTCCCAATATATCGAGAATAATCAAAGACTAAAGAATACAAAAAAAAACAATTACCTAGGTGACACACCTGAACCCTCACTCGGAGCCATACTTACTACCTGACACAGGCGTATCATTGAGGATATTTAACTTCTACCCAAGTTTTATGATCTCTACTGCCAGTAGGTCAAAAATGTCAGTCAAACTTTGAACACACGGCGCAACCATCAAAATGCAGTTTAAAAATATGAAAAAATTCACAGGGGTATTTTATCAACTGAAGAATCATTTTTTGAGACGAAATCGGAAATATTCAGGAATACCCGTAAAATGGGCCACCCTAATGTGTAACCACCTAAACTCTTGTTATCTCAATTTTGTGGTAGCGTAGTTTCTGAAAAATCTTATGTCATAAAAAACAAAACTGAAAAATCAGGCTCGGTCGCGCGCTCTTTCTTTGGGGTATGACCGGTAGGGGTTGGTGGAATTGGGTGTGACCCATTACGGGTCGAACCAATAACTTCCCGACCATTTGTTTTTGTTGACGCTGGGGTCATGCCACAGTGAATGCGGCGGACGCTATACGCAACGCTAGTCATTGTCAGAAATATTCGGAAAACAGTTGGATAATTATTTCATACGTTGCATGCGTTTAGCGTTGCATCCATTGTGGCATTACCCTTAGGGTGATTTCGCAAAGAACGCATTTGCAATTTAATTTAACTCAAACTTCAATCAAGCTTGAGTTAAACCCACTTTTTACTTGACCCACTTCAAAATTCTCTCAACTCCGAAGCTGATCCACTTAAAAATTTGCAACTTCAAAGTTGACCCACTCTAAAATTTTCCAACCTTCCCTTCTTTTTTAATTGCAAAATTCGAAAGTTTTATTTAAAAAACTCAACAACCACCGAGGCGATTTTGCTCAAAATCCAATGAAAATCAAGTTATGTGGAGACGCATCGATTACACAAAATTAATTCTAATCCCATCGTTANCTTCCCTTCTTTTTTAATTGCAAAATTCGAAAGTTTTATTTAAAAAACTCAACAACCACCGAGGCGATTTTGCTCAAAATCCAATGAAAATCAAGTTATGTGGAGACGCATCGATTACACAAAATTAATTCTAATCCCATCGTTACCTTAGGTAAAATGCGAATGAAGTAATTTTTTTAGGTGAATGCAATGAATTTTGAAGAGATTGTCATTCCTTCACATGTTTTATGCAAATAACTAAGAAACTGCTGAGGCAATCGTCCTCATATATTCATCGGTTCGAAGTTTTTTTTAGCACTCATAGATTGAAAAAAAGATAATAATCACATCATTTCTCGGCATAAAATCTTTGAATTTTTGTCATTTTCACACATATTTCATGCGAATAACTAATAAACCACTGACACGGTCGCCTTCATACACTGATCTCTCCTAAGTTACATGAACGATTGAAATAAAAAAAATGAGAATGATAAGATTTCTTCTGATAGAATCATTGAATTTTCACGAAATCGTCATTTTCTACATGTTCTATGCGAATAATTAACCACCCGCTGAGACGATCTTCTTCATACACTGATCACCCCCGAGTTACGTCAACACGCAGCGATTGCAATAATAAAAATGCGAATGACATCATTTCTCCGGATGAAATCATTAATTTTCCAAGAAATCGTCATTTTTTCGCATGTTTTATGCTAATAACTGACAAACCGCTGAGGCGATCGATCTCATAATCTAATCAGTTCTAAGTTACCTTAAAACGCATTGATTGAAAAAAAAAAAATTCGAATCGCTTCATTTGTTCAGAAGATATTTTTGGACAACATTTTGGTCACATACGTACACACACACACACATACATACAGACATGTCTCCAAAAACGTTTCAGGATGATTCGAGAGGTCGAGAAATGTGGAGAAATCATGGAAATTCCAAATTCGATTTCCGGGGTCATTACAATAACTTCCTCCCTTCGGGTCGGGAAGTTAAAAACTCGAAAACGGTTGAGAAGTCATCGAGATATCCAGTGTGACAAATGTAGGGAATTCCATAACAAAGAAAATGGTTTTCAACTCACATTGTGACTTTTGCAGATGAAAGGAAACAAATTCCAGCAGAATAAGAAAATAGCAAAAACATTTTTCTATGAGAATTTTTCAGTGAACAATTTTTTGGAAAAAAATTCTCCTGGAATTTTTTTCCGGGGATAAAGTATCCGGTAATCGGATAAATACTATTATGGTCTGAGGATCCTTTATCCTAAGCATCGCCTGAACTTTGATCTTCCTTTTTGTCATATTATAAGAAGAAATAAAAATGTCTCAATTGTTAATGCTGCATGTATCGATGACTTTTTAATATTTATCGAGATACTTCACGTGAGAGTGGCACATATCTTGGAAACAAAATGCATACTGTGTACTCATAGCATCCGTTCATAATTGTTACACAGTCATGTAATGGATTATTTCTTTTTTTTATTTTGTACCGACAGGTTCTGAAAACAGCAGCTTCTTATTTCACAGTCTTCTTGGCGATGCAGTGAAAAAATACATTGTATATTGAATGAGCAAATTATACCGGATCGAATGTAATCGCATTGTAATCGAAGGTTAACATTAAAAGAATGGTCGATGTGGTTCGACATGTGTAGGATGTAAAATATAGCACACACACACTATCTTTCCTAATTACAAACTCGACAAAGAAAAAGATATTTTCTTCTTCCATTCAATTTAATATAATTGTATTTCTCTGTTACACCCCACTGGATGATTCCGTTCTGACACCATACCGTCTAGCTTCCCTATTCTTTCCACTCCACATCGATGAATTATTGATAGGTGTTGATATCTCTTGCAAATATTTTCCTCTAAACAAACACTTTTCCTCACGGAATATTTAAAAGTTTAATAACATGCACTGTCAATCCCAGATGCTTTGTTTTCACAAAGAAAATAGCACTTTTTATTATTCGATATTTGAAGGAGAGCCACCGGGAGGAACTTTGATTCTCTCCGTGAAATGGCAAGTGAAGAGAAAACTTAAAAAATGGACACTTGGAATTATTGCAACTACAATTAAACATTGCCTATTTCTTTTCTATGATTGCGATTGACGAAATGACTAGTTCGAATTGAATTAGTCCAACCCAATGACGATTTCTTGAAGAAATGGGAGGTGTGGATTTCTGGGATCATCCCTACTACAAAATTGTGAAGACATTGACCACTGTCGTAGGCATATGGCCCTGTCAATCAATGAAGGAGATCATCATGTGTCGTTTTGGACTATTTGTCATTATGGTCGTTCAAGTTGGGCCACAGGTATTTAATATTAATAACGTTTGTTTTTCCGCTCTTAGAATGATTTCTAATACATTGCAGATAATGGCTTTTTGGAAATATCGAAATGACATGGAGATTATTTTGGATACCATCACACCTTTCATCATAGATGTACTACTTACCGTGAAATTGGTAAATGTTTGCTGCCACTTCAAAAAAGTGAGTGATTTTTTTTGTTAGTGTGAAGAATTGTGGACATCGATTCGATTTTCAGTTGAGTTATCTCTTGGAACAAATCAGAGAACACTGGACTATTTTTTCTCGGAATAATGGACTTTATATGCTTCATTATCACAGCAATTTTGGAAGAATACTTTCGATGGTGTATCTAGGTGAGTTACTTTTTTCAATGATTATATTCATTTTATAACTGGGAAAATCTCGTGGATTGAATGAGGAAGTGTCGAGAAATATTTTCTGGTCGGTAGGGATCTCTTCAGTTTTCATGAATATTTTTTTACACTTTTCCAACAAAATATGCAATTTGAAAAAAAATGAAATTTAATCATTACGTTTTATGATAACTAATTTTAATTTTATTTAGCGGGAGTATACTTCGGTGGAGTAAGTTACTCAACTGAACCGGTGCAGCGCATGATGCTCTATCGTCTCCTGAACTCCAACATTACGGTACCGAAGAGATTCTCGATGTCAATGGATTTTGGTCCGATTAATCTGGACATCTGGTATTATCCACTCTTGTTGGGTTCTGGATTTTGCATTTTTGTGATTTTGACGGTCATCGGTTCCTGTGATTTACTACTATTCATGTATGCGGAGCATGCTTGCGGATTGCTCAATGGATTGGGGTGATGTATACCATGATGAATAACGTCACGTGCATATGTATTTGAAGTAATTCCTCCTTTTACAGTTATGCAATTGAACATCTGCCGCCTTACGATGCGGCTGAGAAGTTTGATTACAGTTTCGTGTACATGCGGAGGTGTGCGGTAATCCACCGTCGCGCAATAGAGTATGTAATTGCCATCCGGTGATATTTTTTGATCTTCACGTTAATCAAATTCGTATGAATAGTTTCGCAGAACACGTCAGAGATATTTTCCTTTGGTCATTCTTCGGTGTTATAGGATTAAATATGATGGTGATAAGTATAACTGCAGTGCAGGTGAGAACATGGCTGGAATTGCCTTAGGTATTATGATAGCCATTCTAACAGACACTCAGATGAAGAGGAGTGCCAAGCTGTGACGATAGGGTCAAGTTCGGCACAACCTTATTGGTTTACCGAACCTTGGTATACCAAGCTTGCGCCATACGTAGTATACCCATGGATATAATTTGATAAATGCAAGCTTGTTAATAGCAAACGTATGCCTGAAATCCAAGGTTGAACCAACCATGGTCCAAGCTGAGTATGTTAAACTTGGAATTAGGGCTTCCAACCAAGCTTGGCTGAATATTGGTATCCAGCGTAAATCTAAGTTGGGAGGTCCTGATCAATTTTTAACTTGGGAAAAATACGGACAATACGAGGTAGGAATTAATTCATTGAACAGCGTAAGTCACGAAATTAGCGGTGCGAAATGAGTAGCGAGGCCTTCAATGAGTTTGTAAGCCGTAAGGAGGGCCCAACTGTTGTGCGCGCACACTATCGCAAAATAGTCAGGGTATTCAATGAGCCTATTTCAGGGTATTCAATGAGCCTATTTTCGCCGGAGAGTTGAGCACGAGTAGAGGTGAATTAACTTGTCGGTAAAAAAGTAGCGATGAGTTAGTCTCGGTGGAAATGAGACAGGAGTTGGGTATTATTTTCCTTGTACAGTAGGACTCCTATAATTTCGACCCGACGGGGGAACTAATTCCGAAAAGTCGAAAACAGTTGGCTGAGCTCTCATTGGCCAAGCGCGCCTAGTGGGGGAGTCAGAGAAAGAACGCATTATATTGCTCTCTGTTTTCGCCGTCGGGCAACAGTCAGTACATAACCTGAAAGTATGTTTTTCCGAATGATTGAGGTTGGGGAAACACTTGAGAGCAGAGGGCTATGCGCCCGGGAGATGATGGAACCATTCCGTAAACGGAAGGAGTAGCGACTGAAAGCAAGAGAGTGGGGACGCAGTGCTCCGCCCGTCGAAAATAGCCGGCTCGAAATTACAGGTGCCGTACTGTAAAAGGAAATCCATCGAATTCCTTTGAGTTTATGAGCCTAGTTACGCCGGAGAGTTGGATACGAGTAGAGTTGAAGTAACTCGTCGGTAGAAACACAACGATGAGTTAGTCTCAGTGGAAGCGAGACAGGAGTTGGCTATTATTTCTCATGTAAAAGAAAATATATCGAACTCCTTTGAGTTTATGTTTACGCTAACAACACTTCAAGTTCATACGGTGTAAATACGCTCAATGATTTAAGAGGTAACAGAATGTTTCTAATTTTCCAAATTGTTGAACAAATTTCCTGCCGAAAGTTATCGATATTTTTACAAATCAAAGCATATTAATCTCCAGGAGGCGATGATGAAGATCAAAGTGCTATGGGTTCAAAAAATATTGATAAGTTTGAGCAGGAAATTTGTTTGAAAATTTCGAGGAAACGGTGGCCTTCTGTTAACACTTAAGGTATATTCCAAGACAATAGCACCCAAAAGTTCGTCCCTACGGATTCCAAGAAGTCCACACCGGATTTTTTTTACTGTGTACAGCTACACTGAGAAAAAAATTTTCTAATATCTGAAACATATTTTCTTGAGACAAATAAATTTTCTTCAATTGCTTAATTCTCTCAGGCATCTCAACCTACATGACCTGAGAAAGGCCTCATGCTTTAAAATGTTCTTGTACTCAAGTCTGATTTTATCGCAAATAAACTTACTTAAATCGCGTAGAAGGATCGTCAATCTGCTACTCTTTATTGTTTTCATGATTTTTTCATTATGCACTTCCAATATTGCAATATATAAAATGTTCATGACGTAACGCGGAACGATAGTGATGAATGAAAATTTATTCGAGTTCCATGAAGTGCACACATTCTGAAATTTAAGCCATTGAAAATAATTTACTTCTCTCAAGAAAATATGTTTCAGATATTAGAAATTTTTTTTCTCCGTGTGGGTAGTACAGGTAGTTAGCATTTATTTCAATAGCTGGGAACTATCATAAACATTATCTATGAATAACATGAGGACAATCTTGAGAAAAACGTGTTTTCTATAGATATATCTTAACAGAAATACGCTGAAATCTAGTGGTTATGAAGTTAGATTAGTAATCATAGCGTTCCGGCTTCGAGACTCATCTTTTTAATTGATGATTGTATCAGGGATTAGTAATTGAGCAACTACTCACCATGAAAATGATGCAATAAATGTTAATGACTCATTTTTCCTCATCATTTTTACCGCAATTAAGTAGCGACGGACCATAAGCTATGGCATTTGGTTCAAATTTGAATTATCAGTGTCTTTCTATCTAGTGATAACCAAATGATAAAGCTTGGATTGACCTAACTTCAACGAGGGACCAAGGTTGAATAATTAGGGATTAACCATGGTTGGTCCAAGCTTGGACCAAGCTTGATCCAATGATCATTTCTCACCTGGGCACTAGACTAGACTCTGAACAACTATAAACGTGAATCTAGTCGAAAGTCTAATCCAGAAGTATAGTCTTGGTTCTAATTTAGTTGTAAGTAGGGGAAAATAGACCAGGAATAAGCAATAAAAAAAATACCCGTGATTCGGGCTATTTTCTGCCGTGATCTTTTTGCTCGTACATTCTCTTCTAGTCTAGTATCCAGTCTAATATAATCCGGAGTTTAGTTATGGAACTTCCGTCCAGACTGGCGATGAAAAATAAGGATGGAAGATTAATATTCTCAGATCACTTTACCTCTGAATCAAACAAATCTAGGTGGTGATTAATCTGAAAGCTGTGGAGAAAGTCCTCAAATACACGGTATTTGTATTCATGCAAATGGTGCATCTATTCGTTGAATGTTTGGCAGCTCAACGAGTGATGGACGCCAGTTTGAACCTCAAAGAGAGTCTGTAAGTTTAATGCAGGAGCAATAAAGCCATAGAACGCTTCAAGTTGACTTAGATCTTATCTGAGTTTTTGAGGAATTTCACCGAATCTAAGGGAGATACCGAAATCCTTGTAAATATTTTGTTTGAAATACAGTTGAATATCTATCAGTTGCTCGGTCAAATGAACGTGAAGACTAGTAGCTCATCAGCATTTGTATAATCAACGTGTTGCTAAAAGTACATCACCCAGAGTAGTGGTCTCTTACTGTGTAGGAGCCTTAGCAATTCAACGGGTGTACGTAGTACATCAACCTATTCAGTTTTGAGGCAGTCATCAAATAGTATGCCCGAGCCTTGGAAAACGTATCACCGTCCCCCACGTGTAAGATTGTCTTTCGAGCCGAAGGCGAGGGTGAAAGAAAAGGGCGAGAGGCAAACAGTTAAAGAGAGTCTTATTCGCTAGTCTTTAATCGGGTTTTTACTATTGAAATAACAATAAAATTGCTCTTGTTTTTAATAACCCATTTCCTTTAATTCGCTTTAATCGAAAACTGCGCCCACGTCATTCGACAACTGGGATAGGTTGGTTTTGGACATTCGAAATCTGGGTTCGGGGCACTATATTTTACTTTCGCGAATATTCATCTAATTCCTAAGTTTTTCAATCAAAATCAAGTGTCTTTCTATCAGAAAAACATCCGAATTGACTTCTAAAAGTTAATATTTCACATTTGACGGGAAGAGATAGGGATAATCCGATATTAATGGGTGGGCACCTCTTAATCATTCGAAAACTGGTGCTCCCACGGTACAACCAACCCAGTATAAATGGAATTGAAACGAGTGGCTAAAACCCGCCCTAACAGATTGATTGATGCCTATTCGATGACGGCTCAACAGGAGATCGACTTGTTCACTCGGTCGATGGCCGCTCGATCGTTGCTTAATTACTAGTAGAGGGTTAGTCGATCGATGATCGATTATTGGTCGATTGCTGATCGAACCAATAATTGGTCATGAACCCTGATCGACTAGCCGTCGACTGCGTGAACAACTCGAACCCCCTATCGAGTGATTCGTCAGAGCACGAATTAATTGTGATTTTAGTTAGATGTGTTCATTTAATTTTGCTAGCATACGCTCAGTAAAAACGCCCAAATCTTTTTTGTAGCACTCAATTTGCTCTACAAAATAGGTTATGACAAAAATATTACTATCTCCCTTACATTCCGAGATATTCATGGAAAACTGGCTAATAGTCAAAATCGAACTAAACCATTTCACCGCTTCGCTACTAGGGATGAGCGATGTTCTTAAAAACATCGATATTGTGAATCGATTTTTCTGGAAAACCACCGATTACACGCTCCAACAAAATTGGGCCATGTTTTCTGTCAGAAATGAAATTTATACTGTAGATAGATTTTTTCACTTTGAATTTATATGTGCTTTTGTAAAATTTCGATAGCACGTCAGGGTTCGGAGAAAAAAATATTAAAGTTGTGAAAAGTAGGAAAACGGGCATATTAGAAAAAAAGAAAAGTCAACTAATTTTGTACTCAATAGGATGGAAAAAGATACAGGAAGTTGAAGAAAGATTTGTTTATCCGAGGGAATAAATCTCTGGGGAATCCATGATCTAATTGAGCTGGAAATAAATCATGAAATTGCGAAATTTTCAGTATTTTCGTGCAACGAGGAGAACCGGTAAGAAGTTGGTTACATGTTTTTCGAATCCCGTCGAATTTAATTCTGTAGATACGTGGTTGACCTAGGTTTTCTTCAAAGCTTTCATAATGAGCCCTGAAAAAGATTTTTCATTAAATTCCTTCGTCCTAGATATAACTGAGCTTTAGGAGAGAGAATTATCAGACTTTTATGGAATTGGCTGTTGTCGGAGGCCATTGGCAGCAATTCAATTCACATTATTGCAGGTATTTTCTCTGATTAAACACGTATTGAGTGTATTGAGTGTCTCAGTGTTCATAGAGGTATAAAATTTGTAGAAACTTGAGGGTGAGATGATGCTTTCACTGTGTACTGTGTGGATTGAGATTATATACAGTCACCCCTCATCTGTCGAGTGTACAGGACTAATAAACAACCCAACAGTACCCTAAAATGTATCTCCGTCATACAACCTTAATATGTAGCAAAATAAAATATAAGGAGAAAACTCAATACGTGTTTAATCAGGGACAATACCTGCAATTATGTGAATTAAATTGCTGCCGATGGCCTCCGACAACAGTGAATTCCATAAAAGTCTGATAATTTTTTGTTAAAAATGTAGATTACCTACTCTGCGTTCTCTCTTACGGACATGAGTGGTACATGCCACAAGCGCTGTCCGGTGCGAGAGCGCGTTCACACTATAATATACTTCACTTGTATACTGACCGTTGAACGGTGTGTTTCGTGAATAAAGACTTTGATTATTCTAATATACGTAATAATTTATTCCACGTTCTTCCGCCTCATGATCCTTCAAGTTATAGGCCCGAGCTGTGTAAAACATAATTACGCTTCCACTGCGCGTGTTTGTTGAAATAGAAATAAATTAAAACTGAATTGAAACGAGAGAGAAAAAGCCGCGTGGGTGCTGAATGCATATCTGACTGGTGAGAAAAGAAAAGGACAATCGCTGAATCTGGTGGAGATCAATCAGATGAAAAAATGGAGAGAATGGAAGAATCAAGTAAGTAATTACTTTGATAAATAAGTGTAAAGTGCATCGGTTAAGCATGGCGAGTTGGCGGGCAGAACATGGGAACGCCATGAGGTAATATGGCGGACAAAATAATATAATAGCGTCAGTCCAACGAGATTCAGAGGAGACGCAGTGTGTGCATGCGCAGCATTGGGATGGGGATGGAGAGGATAGGCTGCAGTCGCACCTTGCTCGAGCAAACATATGAATGAAGAGAAATAAAAAAAAAGTGCGTTAGAGTTCCTCGTACCTGTTTCAGTGTGCGTGCGCATCACCATGCATACCGGTAAATTAACATTCGGGGAATACTAGTGCACAATGATTTGTATTCGCTGAATGAGAATGGATCGATCGAATGAAAATAAAATTTAAATTAATAAGAGGTGAGAGTGTAAGAGAACTGAAACATTTGTTTGATTGAATGATTACAGTTGAACAGGCGCTGTTAGATTTATGGGATTATCTGACAAAAACATTCAAATTGAATGAAATACACAGGGGAGAACAAGTCCCCCCGGTCATTCAGGGAGAAACCTTATTGATAATACCAGAGAGAGGTTTTGGTTACAAAACTGGTGATCTAAATTGATATGATGAATTAAATTAAATGCATGCATGCGGACGGAAGTGCACGTGTGATTGTACGGCGGCATACGACACACATATAAAAGACACTCCGTTCCAAATATTGAATCAAATACTAGTCATAAAAATCCATATTTACAATTATGGTCACTCTGAAAAGCCGGTCAGCAATTGTGTACTTGCGTTCGCTATTACAAGACCTGACTGTCTAGGATAGGCATGGGGAAAATCTTCTGTTCGGATTTTTAACATGCCTGTTCATCCTGAGACCAGCCATACTTGTTGTTCGGTCAACTGGTCTTGGAATAGAGTTCTCGGCAAATAATTGAAATATCTAATAAATTAAATTTCTCCCACACAGAAAAGAGAATGATGGATGATGCATAGTGGAACGGTCTTACAGAATGGAGTGAAGACAAGATTATTAATGATCTACCACTGTTCATGCCGAGAGACAAGCCAGAGGAGAGTCGATTTTTCCCTCTTATTAATGCTGGTGAGATGAAGGTTTCAGAGAATGGTGAGGAAAGTGAGGTGAGAGAACTAAATGGCGAGAATGTTGGGGAGAAGGCAAGCGGACAGACAGAAACCAATAAGACTTCTGATGCATTAATTGAGACTATGAACAAAGGTAAATCAAACAAACCTCTAATTATAAATGAGGTTCCAGGTTACTTTAATATTAAAGTTGTTCCACAAGAGAGTAAAACCCCAAAGATTGTAGTTACCAAAGACAACACAAATGAAATTTCAGTATCAGAAAGACTGGAGGCCCAGGAGAGTAAGTTGAGTGAGCTTCTTACAGCAGTGCACGGTTTCTGTGCCGCTTCGAGTAAGTCGACAGAACAGATTGTTGAGTTGTTGAAATTAACTAGAAAGGAACAACGCGCAAGGAATGATATGAAAGACTGGATGGAAAAAATGCAGGAGAATTATCAGATACAACTGACAAATGTGGCCAGGGCTGTTCAAACTCTTGATCAGATTTGTGAGGATAATATTCACAGGAGAGATGAGGTGAGTAATTCTGATCAAGAAGAAGATGAGAAAGATACATCAGGAGCTGCAGAAAAACTAAAAAGTAAAGTCAAAGAATCAAAAGAAGAAAAAATTGAAAGACAGGAAAGTCAAATACAGAAAATAGCTAAAAATGTCACAGTCATTAAAATTTGAAATAGTTAAAGGGGCAAACGTGAGAAGAGAATACATGTTGGATCACAAGATGACATTTGAATTTTTCTATGATTACGTTACCTCAGAACTGAGATCGAAGTAATTGCTTCACATAATTGACGAGAAAATTCAAATAGTAGTAGAAGAGAAAACACTAGAGGAACAGAAATTCAAAGTTCGTGGCATCTTGATAAATCATCTCAATAGATATTATCATTCAAAAGTAATTGAAATAAAAGATCCAGTTACACTTTTGCAAAAATTGAGAGAAATCAAAGCTGTGAAACAAACATAACATCATCTCCAGTTGGAAAACTTTTAAATAACATGGAATACATTCCTGGTAAAATGATAGCAGTAGAGTTTATTGAACAGTTTGAAGATACAATTAAAGATTATGAGAATGCCCCCGGTGCTATTCCGTTATCAGATATTGAGAAAAGAGATACATTTTATAATACTGTTAAAGTATCAGTACCATCCATTCAGCCTCTAGAGTTTCATAATCAATCGTCAAATAGTGAGGGTATTTCATATGAGGGTTTGAAAATGTTGGTGATACAGGATGAGGCAGCAAAGAATCAGATGGGTGCTGATAAAAAGAAAGAGATGAGAGCAGCAAACCTTGCTACGCCAAATATTCCAAGGTGCTGTGAGTGTCAGACATTTGGACACTATGGGAACGAATGTCCAAACCCTGGACAGGGCATCAGGTCCTACAAGTGCAATGAGTTGGGAAACCACATTGCAAAATTTCGTCCTCGTCGAAAGAATGATCGGTCGGGTTATTCAAAAGGTAATTCAGGATACAATAATAAATTTGGTAACCAATCTCGAGGTTCAGGGGGGAATAGATATAGGCGAGGTTTGAAGAGGAGAGGTAATGATGAGAATAGTCATGGTGGGAAAAGAGTAAGACTCGATAGTCATAGAGAAAGAGGAGGACACAGTTCTCAGTATCATTATAACAAAAATAATTCAAACGGAAATAAGCAAAATTAGACTAATCAGTCCAATCAGAAGAATTCGGATAAGCCAAATGATGGGAACAGTTCAAACAAAGGTAAGTCAGATCCAAATGGAATGATGAATATACAGAATAATTTGATGGAAATAAAGTATAATTTATCTGGAATCGAAGCAATAACTACCGAAACTCAAGAATTAAACCGAAACAAATATATTGTAGAGTTTCTAGCCGATTCAGGTGCAACAGAGCCACTCTAAAATTATATTTAAAACATTAGGCTAGAAAAATCAAAGCGTGATAAAGTGTGCTAATAAAAATCAGTCAGTGAACTTGAGAACGGAGGGAGTGGGGAGTATTGAGATCTAGTTGGTAAATGGGAGGACTGTAGAAATTGATACAGTGATTTTTGCTGAAGCACTTAAAGCAAATTTGCTGTCCTTACGAAGGTTTGCAGAAATGGGACTTGTTACTTACCTTGACAACGAAAAAATAGATATATTTGATCCAAAATCAAACGAGTCGTTGATCTCAGGCGTGTACAAACAACTATATTGGATAATAGATTTAGAAATAAACAAATTTAATTCTAGAGATGATCGTTCAGTCAGGTATACTAATAGGCGAGTAATAGCGAATTTAGCGAGTGGTGAGTCTGAGGTGAGAAAATATTATACACGAAGCGCAACAGCGAAGTTACAAGAGAATTCTAAAGATGAGAAAGGTGATGAAGAACCAGGTGAGAAGACAGAGATGAGGGTAGAGAAAGAGAAAGGTGAGATAGGTGGCGAGAGAATAGATCAAGGTGAGAAAACAGTCAAGAGAAAAATTCCATATGAACAATCAAATTTTGATTTTACCTTATGGGATCGGAAAATACATAATATTGAAGAATCACCATATGAAAACATAACAGATGAAGTAACTCCCTTTCAAAAAGTGAATAAGATGTTCACTCAGAATTATAAAGCGATGCTGTGGCATGTGAGATTTGGACACGCATCGTTAGCTTATCTTAAAGCATTGCAATCAAAATTCCCCAATAATAAAGAATTAAATAATATAGTATTTGATGAGTCAATTGCAAATTGTGAGGTGTGTTTAGTATCAAAGTTTAATAGATTGCCATTCCCAACGACGCGCAGGCGAGCAACACAATCGTTACAAATTATACACTCCGATGTAATGGGTCCAATTTCTTCATGTTCATATCACAAGAATTATCGATTCATAGTAGTATTTATAGATGATTATTTGCATTTCGCGATGGCATATTCCATGAAAAGAAAGAATAAAACCGGTGTATGTTTAGAAATGTTTGTAAAAAGTGCACGTAATCTACTGGGTTAAGATGCGCAGGTGTGTTATCTTCGATCTGATTAGGGAATTTAGAGCAGAATTTACAGGCGGATACACGATAGAAGTATTGAATAAACTAGGCGCGGAGTTACAACTAGCGTGTCCTGATACTCCAGAACATAATGGAGTATCGGAACGCTTTAATCAGACGATTCAAAAGAAAATTAGATCATATATGTACGATTCTAAATTGCCGGAGAGTTTGTGGGATTTAGCGTTATCAGCAGATGTGTATGCATACAATCGCACTCCTCATAAGTCGAACGATATGGTAACACCTTTGGAGAGATTTGCCCTGTATCACAGTTTTAACATTAATCAAATAAAAAGATTTGAAAGTGTAGCATTCATGAAAATTCAGAGAAAGACGGGTCCTAAATTTCGAGCTGCAGCCATGCGTGTTATTCATGTTGGATATACAGATATACACCTTCAGGATATTCAGGATACACCTTCTTGAGACCGATAGATGGGAAATATTACGAGAGTAGACACGTCAGGTTTAACAAAAAATGTTTTATGGAGATATGTATAAAAAGACTAATACCAAAGATTTTCCGAAGGTAGGTGAGATTTTTTATCACAATTCAGAGTGAAGATAAAAATTCGTGGCTATCAGCCATTAAAAACGAGTTGAATTCTATGGTGAAAAATCAGGTGTGTAAAATTGTAAATAGACCGTTTATTATTTATTCTAAATGGGTTTTGAAGCGAAAAATTGAGACTGATGGGAAGGTGAGATTTATTGCGACATTAGTTATTCGAGGATTCACAGATAAAAATGTATATGAGTTGTGGAAAACGTATGCTCCAGTATCTAGACTACCTCTAGTTAGGGTAGTGCTAGCAATAATAAATAAATATGATTTAGAAGTTTGTCAAATGGATGTGAAAACAGCGTTTTTGAATGGTGAGATGGATGAGGAGATTTTTATGGAGATACCAGATGGAACATCACATACTGATAAAGGAATGAGAGATAAGGTGTGTAAGTTGGAGAGAGCATTTTACGGACTTTGAATAAGTCCCAAACGGTGGAACATTAAATTTACTGAAGTCGCATTGAGTATGGGATTGAAGAATTCAGACTGAGAACCATGTTTGTTCACTTGGCGTGATGGAGAGAAATTTTTAATTTTACTACTTTATGTAGATGATATTTTGTTGACGAGTAGTGATAAAATCAAATTAGAAGAAGTTGAAACAAAGTTAAGGTTGGAATTTGAAATGACGATTTTAGGTGAGCCGAAGGAATTTTTAAGTATTACTATTTGGCGAGATAGAGAGAATAGAGTTATGAGTTTGAGTTAAGAGAAATATATTAAAAAGATACTTCTGAAATTCGGTTTTGATAGATCACACCCCCAAAGAACACCAATGAACACTACACAAGTTACGAATCAAGAGAGAAAGGCGAAGGAAGAGAATAGCGATGATGGTGTGTTGAAACGAACAGAAACTCGAGAGAGCACTTCATACAGAGAAGCAGTAGGTAGCCTTCTGTATCTGGCTGGTGCCACAAGACCAGATCTCGTATGCAGTAAATGTTTTGAGTAGGCACCAGGTGCATCCAACTAGTGATGATTGGATGATGGTGAAGAGAGTATTTAGATATTTGAGAGGGACAACCTTCTTAGGTTTGAAATGTACAGGTGAGTTAGATGATATACAAAATTACTCAGACGCTGGTTTCGCGGATTGTAAGAATTCATTAACTACCTGTGGGTTTTTGATTAAATGATTTGGAGACACTATAGTCTGGTGTACTGATAAACAAATACATGTGGTTCTGTCCACCTGTCAGGCTGAGTATGTAGCGACGAGCGAGGCGAGTCAGGAGATGCTTTCGATTCATAATTCCTCAAGACTGATTCTGATTGAACCCCCATTTCCGATGGTTTTATGGTGTGATAATAGAGCTACAATAGTTAATGCTGAGACTAGTGGAGGAAATAAGTTGAGACACGTTATCGAAACCAAAGTTCATCACTCGTGGGTTAGAATAGTTCCCACATCAAAAACTCCCAAGACTTCGTGAACAAACTGTCTCACATTCAAACTAGTCCAGGAGATCTTTTGGTTAGCTTTGATCTGGAGTCCCTGTTCACGAATGTACCCATTTCCGACACTCTTAACATTATCAAAAAATGCCAAAAAATCCCACCCAAACTCCTCCCTCTGGTTGAACACTGCCTGACTTCCACTTATTTCCAATTTGAAAGGGGGTTCTATGAACAAACAATCGGAGCAGCAATCGGTTCACCCATTTCTCCCATCATAGCAAACATTTTTATGGAAGATTTCGANCTGGAGTCCCTGTTCACGAATGTACCCATTTCCGACACTCTTAACATTATCAAAAAATGCCAAAAAATCCCACCCAAACTCCTCCCTCTGGTTGAACACTGCCTGACTTCCACTTATTTCCAATTTGAAAGGGGGTTCTATGAACAAACAATCGGAGCAGCAATCGGTTCACCCATTTCTCCCATCATAGCAAACATTTTTATGGAAGATTTCGAAAACAAAGTTCTTAAATCAGCTCCTCTTAAACCCTCTATTTGGTTCAGGTATGTCGACGACACTTTCGTCCTCTGGAAACATGGAGCAGACACGTTGCCTCAGTTCCTGAATTTTATCAACTCACAACATCCGAGCATAAAATTCACTATGGAGATTGAGGAACAGAAGTCTCTTCCCTTCCTAGATGTCCTAGTGCATCGTAATGAGGACGGAAGTCTTGGTCACCAACTCTATCGAAAGCCTACAAATACAGACAGATTCCTCCATGCCTTTTCACACCATCACCCTTCTCAAAAGAACTCGGTGATAAGCTCTCTTATGTACCGAGCTCTCACTATTTCCCAGCCTGAATACCTGGAAGCCGAAGTTCGACACCTGGATAAAGCATTGAATAACAATGGATACCAGAGCAAACAAGTTCACCGTGTTTTGCACAGGCTGAAAAACAAGAACTCATCTGAGGGCGAACCTGCTGATAAAGTAGAACATCAGAAAACGGCTATTCTCCCGTATCTTCAAAGTACGACCGATCGCATTAGCAAGGTACTACAGAAGCATGACATCAGGAAAATTTTCAAACCACCAACGAAAATTGGACAAATGCTCCCCAGTACTATGGATCGGAGACCACCACTCAGTCTCCCAGGGGTGTACAAAATCCCTTGCTCTTGTGGAAAAGTGTACATTGGTGAAACCGGGAGGAGGATCAGTACACGGATCAAAGAACATCAGCGGTATACAAAAAATGGCCATATCTCGCAATCTGCACTGGCTGAACATTGGATGGACACTGGACACTCTATCCAATATGACAAGACAGAAATGCTTGCCAGCTCACAAGAATATTTCGCCAGAAAACATCGTGAAGGTCTCGAGATCCAAAAACATCCGAACAATCTCAATAGGGATCGAGGATACCAAACCAATCCAATTTGGCACACCGTCCTCCCGGTTTTTTAATTGACCAGCTGATCAATTAAAAACATCTTGATTGGCTGGGATACCCCCCACCACTCTACCTACCCCCCTCCAGGGGTCAGGGGGTATATGTATAGACTTCGTTACAACGGGGAGCTTCAGTATCGGAGCAACCTAGCCCTGATGATGCAGACTAAAATGTTTGCGAAACGTCGGCAAATAGCTGAATCTAGACGCGGCTTCCATCCGGAAGCCATCATAATAAATAATAATATTGGCCGCGAAAGTCTCAAAACTCAAGTTAGCAGATGTATTCACAAAACCTTTGTCATTTGAATTACACAAACGACTGACAGATAAGATTATGAATGTAAATCTGTAATTACTAATTTTTATTTGTTCTGGTTGATTTAGGAAAGTGAATGACCTGAGGAAAAGAGTGGTGAGCAAAGGATACATGACGAAATACTGATACAAGACGAGACAATGGAAACTTAACATTAAAATAATATTGAATCTGTTATTGAGAGTTGATATGTTAAGCTTATGTAATTAAGAAACACTGACATATTTAGTTTGTAAGAGTTGAAAAAGTTGCCATAGTGAGTTTATAAAAGTATTACAAAGGCAATGCAACTAGTATTATAAAGGTGAAATCAAAAGAGGATTTAAAGGTCAGACTCGACGGAGAGATTGGACTGAGAAGAGAAAACTCCGAAATAGTCGAGAGGGAGTGTTGAAAATGTAGATCGCCTACTCTGCGTTCTCTCTTACCGCCATGAGTGTACATGCCACAGGCGCTGTCCGGCGCGAGAGCGCGTTCACACTATAATATACTTCACTTGTACACTGACCGTTGAACGGTGTGTTTCGTGAATAAAGACTTTGATTATTCTAATATACATAATTTATTCCACGTTCTTCCGCCTCATAATCCTTCATTTTTTCTCCCAAAGCTCAGTCATCTCTAGGACGAAGGAATTCAATGAAAAATGTTTTTCAGGACTCATTATGAAAGCTTTGAAGAAAACCCAGGTTAACCAGGTATCTACAGAATTGAATTGAGCGGGGTTAAAAAAACATGTAACCAACTTCCGACCAGTTCCCTTCGTTGCACGAAAATACTGAAAATTTTGCAATTTCATGATTTATTTCCAGCTGAATTAGATTATAGATTCCCTGGAGATTAATTCTCTCGGATAAACAAATCTTTCTTCAACTTCCTGTATTTTTTTCCATCCTATTGAGTACAAAATTAGTCGACTTGTATTTTTTTCTAATATGCCCATTTTGCTACTTTTCACAACTTTAACTTTTTTTTTCTCCGAAACCGGACGTGCTAGCGAAATTTTACCAAAACAAATAAATTCAGGGTGAAAAAATTTATCTACACTATGAATTTTATTTCTGGCAGAAAGCATGGCCCATTTTTGTTGGACCGTGTTATTAAACAAATCGATGTTTTTCTTATTGCACCGAAAAAAAAAAATTTTAGAAACAATGTTTTTAAATCTCGTTTTTATTGAAAAGATATATTTAAAAAGTACTGCTGGAAAGTTAGATTTAGAAGCCGGAACCAGGGTTGTTGATTAATTGATAAATATGTATTGAATATTTTTCGTGGTTAGCTGCAATAATTGTTGATTGTTATATATATATTATTATCAAGAATGACTGTAGGCGATAGACTCACCGAAAAAAAAACAATAAACGATTGGATTTGGATTTGGATTATTTTTTTCCACTTTACTATTTATAATGTCTCATTTGAAAAAATACGGCCAAATATCTCCTAAGGCGGGCAAGTAACAAAAAAATATTCGATACAGAAATTGTAGGGTTTCGAGGGAGACATTCGATGCATTCATTATTTTGAGCTTTCAAGCTCATGCTTGCCAGCTGCAAGCACAAAGCCCTTCTTTTAAATGGCAACCGCATTTTTTACCCTAATGAAACTTGTTCATCTTGATGAGTTGTTTTCAGATACCTCGTCATTCATGTAATTTCCTCAAATTCTACTCAAAAAATGCCACAAAAACGAGTTCTGTGGTTAGATTGAAGATTAAAACATCCTTGGCGCACCTTGGTGTAATTGTTCCGTTGATCTCTTTACCAACAGGAGTTATCAAATGTAAACAATGAACAAAAAATTTTCCTACTACTTCGAGGATTCTTTTATTCTATTCAGTACTCTATCTCATTTCACTCGAGTTGTAAGAGATTACCTGAACAGTACCTTCCCGAATCGTTGGATTGGTTGGGGTGGTTACATTTTGTGGCCTCCACGATTACCGGATCTTACGCGCCTCGACTTCTACCTGCACTGAAAAAAAAAATTTCTAAGAAATAGAAATTCTATGTTTGATCCAAATCGTTCATCGATTGAATAATCGCAAAAGAAAATGCTATTGTAAGTCACTAATATCGATTTAATTGTAATGTTTTCGATTGAAAAAGAATGAGATCAGTTATCTAAACTTTTTTTTGTTACTATCTACTTTTCAGTACATACAAATCAGTGTCTGTATTATCAGATATCTTCTTCGAATAAAGCATGTAATTATCCAATTTATCGGCGTCACGATATCCCGCAAAAGAATATCTGTTCGATTGAAAGCAGAATTCATAGATGCAATAAAATATTCATTTCGTCTATGAGGAACATATTGTTGGATACTCATTGACGCGAAACTTTCGCGGTGAGCAGTTTCTTGTTTACAACAAATGCAATTCTTCATCATTTGAACTGATTATTTTTCCATTGCAATTGTGAAAAAAAAATGATTTGCGCCAAATCCGAAGCGTTTGAACTAAACCAAAATGGAATTGTATGAAATCGATTTTGTCGCAAAAACATGTATTTTCAAAATTCGATAGAATAAACAAAATATACTATACTATAACAAAATCGATTTCATACAATCCAATTTTGGTTTAGTTCAAATCAATATTTGTGTTTTACAATAGCATTTTCTCTTGCGACTATTCAATCGATGAACGATTTGGATCAATCATAGAATTTGTATTTCTAAGAAATTTTTTTTCTCAGTGTGTGAGGCTTCATCAAAGATGTTGTTTACAGTGTGGACTTTACACAAACCGACCGACCACTCCAGTGGATTTACAGAGACGTATCAGGGAGGCTGTTGCACGCATTACTCCACAAATTGTTCGAAGCATTGTTGAGAATTTCCGCCATCGAATTGAGTTCTGCCTGCAAGTTAACGGTGGAAACATTGATCATTTCCGGTAAACGCTCATGAACTTCCACACATGTTGGCCCTATTTTTTTCTTTTTTTTAGTCCAAGAGATGCGAAGCAGACTTTACATCTACGTGATGTATCCTAGGTCATACTAAAAAAGTCTGAATCTTCAATTTGACCACAAAACTCGTTTTTGAGGCATTTTTCAAGTAAAATTAGAGGAGATTACAGGAATGACGAGGTATCTGAAAACAACTCATCAAGATGAACAAGTTTCATTCGGGTGAAAAATGCGGTTGATATTTTAAAAACAGCACTTTGTGCTTACAGCTTACAAGCATGAGCTTGAAAGGTCAAAATAATAAATGCATCGAATGACCCCCTCGAAACCCTACAATTTTTGTATTCAACATTTTTTGTTACTCGCCCGCCTTAGGAGATATTTGGCCGCATTTTTTTCAAATGGGACACCCTGTATACTGTAGAAAATAATTATTTGTGATTGCGGATACATTAATATTTTTTTCATTCTCAATCAATCATCATATTATTCGATAATTTTCCTCCCGCTCATCAAAAAGCAAAATACGAACTTTCCTTTGTAGGCGTGTTAAAAAATCGCATGTGCACCTCGTCAAGACTTTCCGCCCTTGATGCAGAATATACTAGTTTTCGATTAATCGACAAACATCGCCCATCCCTATTCGCTGCTGAATTCAATCTCTCATAGTCATGAAGGATATTATAAATTTCCTTGAGAATATGTAGGACAAATGCCAAATGGTATACTGCTTCAAAGAAAACGCAAAGACTGATCCCTCTGATGCTCATAAGAAGCCAAACTCCAGTTGTTTTAACTGCTGGGAAAATTATTGTTATGAATATGGACACATATGCTCTGGTAAGATTGCACGTGTTTTCTCTTCTAAAAAAAAATCACTTTCTTCTGTGTAACTTTTGGTTGTGCTGTCACAGGTTCTGAAGACTGCAGCATCATATTTCACGGTGTTTTTGCCTATGCAATGAAACGAGGCAGTGCTTGTTCTGCGAGTACTTATATAATAAAATAGAAAATATTATAATGTTTTATTGTCTTTCTACTTATTTCTTTTCAAACATGGGTGATTCTCTCAAATTTCCTTCAGTTGTCGTTGCGGCAATAAAATAACATCAAGTATATCCGATTACTGATTAAATGAATCGAGGGTAGAGTAGTTTTTTGGGTAACATTATGGTTATACCTTCTCATAAACTTCGATTTTTTCAACTTATAAATGATTTTCTTTTTTTTTTAATTTACACTGATCAATTTATCGCCGAAGTGTAGAGGTGCAATTAATTTTTACAATTAATTTTTTATTTTTTTTTGTAAATTTGATTTAATTCAATTTTTTAATTAATTTATTATGTTTCCTTTTTTGTATTGTCATATTATTTTTATTTTTTTTGAGATTCTACACCAGCAACGTTCTCGTCGTGAATCCTCGGTTACGCTAAGAGCTGGTGAGGTTTGTTAAGGAATTTATGGCGTGTTTCGAGGGGCTCGAAAAAAAGTCAACGATTTAATGATTTTTTTTTACATTCTTTGATTTTTTTTTAACACCTCTGCAAAATTTCAGATAGCCTAGGAGAATATGCGAATTACAGGAATTTTTATAAAAAATACCGTTTAACATGGGCTCTTATGGGAAATTGGAAAAAAAAATCATTAGCATAGAAAAAAAGTCCACATTTTCTTGAAACTTCGCACACGGGCGGAGATTTTGGTGAGGAAATTGAAAAAAAATAATTGAAGGGGCCTAGGAGAATAGTTTAAATGAAATCATGAAAAAACCATAGGAATGTGCGCGCGCAGCTTGAAATCGCGACAACGATGGAGCACAAGTACTCATGTGGAGGGGGGGGGGGAAGCGGGAAATACGAATGCCTCTGGCGATAGAATCGTACAATTCTATTTGGAGTATTCTATTGGATTCCTTAAATTCTCTTGAATCATTTTTTTTTACCTATGTATGAATGAAAGAAATACCTGGATGATGTTATTAGCTAGAAATGAACACAATAAACTTCTTTATTCATAATGTTACAACAATGTGTACATGAAATTTCCTTGAAGAAAAAGAATTTCATGGTTTTTATGAGCACTTATTGAATCTAGTGTGACTAGTGGACTTTAGCCACAAAAGTAATTATTTTATCAATAGTTTTGGCTTGCAACTTGATATCTTTCTTTTGTATTTTGTCTCTAAAACATTCTCTTATCGCATCAGCTCCATTATCACTAGAATAAATATTTCTGAGATTCTTTATACTTATTGCAGCATCAGATAGTTTCTTTCGAATTAAGGCACTCAACCTCTTCACTGAAGTCGATATATTCTCTTTGTTCAGATCATTATTGCTCCAGGCAATGACGTGTCGATCGTACAGTTTTTCATTTTCTAATAATACAGCATTACTTATTTCCATACCCTTCAAAACTTTAGAGAGTATTGCGTTGTGTACTCCTTCAACAGAAATATTGAGTGACTTAGCCAGAACACTCAACTTGCACTGATTCGGTCTTTTCACATTCTTATTTTTTCGAATAACAGGTAAGGTATCAACGAATCCATGAATCAAATTGGAAAAATTTTCTTCGTAATTGCATTTCCTCACAGCATCATATAATCTGGGGCCATCAGAAATCAAATTATGTGCTACCAAGCAACACTTTCTATCAAAACTCTTGATCCATTCCAGAAAATCTCCCAATGCGTCTTGGAGGGGACGTGTTGACACTTGTTTTCCATGCAGAAGCAGCATCCCATTGCAATTTATCAAGCTAGTAACAGCAGTGGCCTCTGGAAAAAAATGTTGTTGTGGATTTACATAAACACTGAATTCCTTAGATCCAGATTTAGCTGCAATCTGCAGGATATCACAATTTCGTTCCAACTTACTTATAAAGGAGGATGACTCATAGCGATGGAATTTCTATTGTGTAACCTAGGTCCCAGAAAGAGACGAAATCACACCTCATAACATCCAAATAAATTCGAGTTTATGAGAGTGACTTTCTCTAATATTTTTCCCGTTAGTAATTCGTAACGATACATCGATTCAGGATATAAAATCATAAATTTAAGGTGAACAGGGTTTACTATAGTAATACCGTTTTTCGTGCCATGAAAAAACTCAACTCTTTTACTCAGGTAATGATGTCGTCCACTTTGAACGCTTCGAGTTTCAAAGAGAAGTCATTGCTTTAAGAAATCGCGCAGAAAAAATTTCTCTCTCTTTGTTCGTTTTAATACTATTTCTACTTCTATTCTTACTCGCTTCGTATTGAATAAGTCACAACTGACGCCATAGAGTCTGAAAATTCCTGTCCTTCCTCCTCACTTTGATAATCGGAAGGTGTTTCTTTCTGAAATTCTGAAAATTCTTTTTCTCGCGGAGTATTTAAAAAATTCATTGCATCACTGTCAGTCACACATATTTCTTTTCTTTCACCCCGCGAGCCAATACTTAATTCATCGATCATGCTTAGAAGAGCTGATGCCCCAACGCAGCTGCTTGTACGTGATATGCTGAGTAGAGGAAGAACTTTAGATATGGACTCTTAAGACTAGTCCTATCATAAATCCATTGTGAAACAGTCTGTTCTCCATCAATATTTTTAGATAAATTTCCGTTGAGGTAATGTTCATTTTCAATTGGATTTACTGAATTTATAAGAATTTGAAGAAATGTCGGACGCTGATGATTTTTAGAACCATCCCTATTACAAAATGATGAAAAAGGTGACGAGTTTTATGGGCCAATGGCCCTATCAATCCATGAGGGTACACCTCGCAACTGCCTTTATCACATTTTCTATTCTCAGCATGATGCTGACAGTGCAGGTACTATTGAAAAATTAATTTGTCTCCGGTCTTACAATTTTTGCTTCCGAATGGAAGCTTTGTAATCGTTCAAATTTAAGTTTTCAATTTTTCGTGTTATATCGACACGAATTTCAATTTAAATTGTTTACGTCTTATATATTATTGAAGTTATCAGCTTTTTGGGTAAATCGAGGCAATATCGAGATAGTTCTGGATTGTAGTGTTCCCTTCGTCGTAGATTTAATGCTACTGACAAAATACGTGAATAATTGTCGCCATTATAGTATGGCAAGTTATGTTTTTCCAAGCATTCATCGTTCAGTTTAAGGGTAAAATAATTGCCGGTCGTCCCCTCAATTTATAGATAGTACATCTCTTGGAGCAAATCAAATGTAATTGGACTATTCTCCCGAAAAATAATGGACTCCATATGCTCCATGATTACAGTGCCTTCGGGCAAAAATTCGTGAAGATATATATGAGTGAGTCATCTAGCCCGATAATGAACACTTTGACTTTCCATTTATATGTCACTAATCAAAAATTTCTTCAGCGGCGATATGGTTTAGTGTTGTAAGTTACGTAACGGAACCGTTACAGGAGAGATTAACTGTTCATCTTCTGTACCCTAACGTCACATTAGCAAAGAGATTTTCGATGCCCTTCGAATTCGGCCCAGTTGATGGGGACACTTGGTATTATTATCTTTGGTGTGCAACTTCATTTGGTGTATTGACGCGTTTGACAGTTATTGGTTCATGTGATCTATTAATGTTCACATTTGCTGAGCATGCAAATGGATTACTCAAGGTTACAAAATACACTATATTTTTTGTTGCAGATATGCAATTGAACATCTGCCTACGCACGAAGAGTGTGAAAGTGATGACGAATGTTATGAGTATATGAAACGCTGCGCTATGATCCATAGGCGTGCAACAGAGTATGTCATCATCTGATGATGATATCGTAGTACACCGAATTGATAATAAAATTCCAATGAACAGGTTTGCAGAAAACGTTCGAGACATGTACCTTTGGTCTTTCTTCGGAATAGTTGGGCTTAATATGACCTCAATGAGTATAACTGGTATGCAGGTATAGTAATCAGATTGTACACTGATAGAAAGAATTATTTTTATTGAGGTCTTTCTTTCTTGAAACAAGTATTATATACTTGAATGAATTTCAAATAAATAAGATCTTACGGTGAATATAAATTATTTCTTCTTGAGATACATTTACTTGAATCAAATAAAATAGCCCTTGGAGTCAAGTCACATGTATTCACCTGTTGTGTTCGGAAGATTTTTAATTAAATTATAGAAAATTATTTCTTCCATTCAATAAGAGGGTACATCCGGTTGAGAATTAGCAAATTCCAACACGTGCCGCCGTTTTGCTTACGACAAATGCTGAATTGAAAGACAAGTCAAAGTCAAGAAGCGCTTGACGACAACCAAAGCACATAGGATTCAACCGTTCCACGTAGAAACCTCTACGAAACTTTCCGTAAAAACGACAAAATCAGCAAAACGAGCCCACGGCAACAGGGCTCGCCATATTTGATTGAGTAACGTCTTAGCTGCAGAAAAGAGCACATCAACGAGATTTACTCCTCAGGCTCTATCGCGATTTGTGAATCCCAGAACGATCCGTTCAACACACGCGGTTTCCTGAGTATTTCAATATCCGAAATAGAGGCAACTACGTAAACCCTCGTAGCTAAAGTTTCAGCGCAGAACGGTTGACGAAGTGCAAAATTATTCGTTACGTTTTCGTGAATTATCAGTGCAACGACACAACAACAAAGAAAAAGCTTCAAAACAAATGAAATATAGATAAATTTTAATACTTCGAGAAACTTAACAATTTAACCAGTGAATTAACAAAGTAAACTTAAATTGTGACTTCCTTTTTTCTTGAAAACTTTAACTTTAAATAATTGTGAATTTTTAATGAACACTGAAAAACAAAGTGAAACAAACTAATTGGATAAAATCAGGAATATCGCAGTTCAGTCACTGCGGAGAACGATCCTGTGAGTGAGCAAAAAGAAAAATTATTAATTGATTAATCTGGCTAATATGAAAATCAAACTTTGAAAAAGAAAAATATCATTGAAATCGTCATAATCAAATTCAGACACGTCTGTCTCTCAAATCCGAATTGAACCGAGCATTATACAAATACATCAAATATTATAAAAATTTCCATCCATAGATTTTTTTGAATAAATCGAAAATTTCTCACAGCTTCGGATAACTCCTCATTAATTTTCATTTATCGACCTTCCGAAATCCACCTTGTAGTTTCCAGATGTGCCAAGCACTTAAGAGATATCCACAAAACAAAAATAATTATTTATTGGAGACTAGGAGAAGCTGATAAATTAATTAAATCAATTAATTCATCAGTTTATCCAAAATTCGACAGTAAATTCGTGTCAGAAGTGGGATACTCACCTTGAGAACTGCAGGTGATTTTTGGAGGAAAGAAAAATGATATGCGAGTCATAATCGTTCATTAGTTCTTTCATTCGTGAATCCATATTTGAATTAATCATATTTCACGTGGCGAAATTGTCGAACGACAATGACTGCTGAGGAAGAACTCGCAGCTTTGAGAGCTGCACACATTGCGCTTGAAGCAGAAAATCGAACTCTTCGAGAGCGAGTTCGGAATAGGCAAGACCCACCAGCCTCGAATAATAATACTACAGCGAATATAAACGTCGGCGGCAAATATCTAGATTATCTTAGAATCAAAGATCTACTTTCGACAATCCCTGAATTTTATGGGAACCCAGATGTCGAATTTGAATTTATTGAGTTCGAAACCGCTGTCAAAGCATGCAAGAATAGAGTAGGTGATAATAACTCCGATTTAATTCATGCTATCATTAACAAGGTCCAATTTCCTGCTAAAGCTCATCTCGATGGAGTGGTCCCTAATTCCGCCTCTCAGTTATTGAATATATTGGGGAACAAGTATCGGGTATGCCATCGCGAGCCTTATTATGAAAATCTAGTTTCGAACATGTGGCCAGAACATGAACGAAGAACGAAGAGGCTGATGATTTCAATCTCCGGTTACAGCGCGTACTCAAGTATGCAAAAGCATCATTGCAAGACGGGTTCCCAGATAAGTATGAGACTCTCGTTGACGTTCTTGAAGAATTCACCCTGAGAAAATTCGAAGAGGTAATTGCGGATGAATATCGTGCCGAACTAAAAAGAAA